CAGGAGCATCACGGGGCACGCGTCCGTCTGCTGCAACTGTGGTTTAATGCCAAAGCCAGGGCTTGGAGCTGCTGTAAATGAACCACTGCCCCTTGCTACCAGCCCTGGAGGTACTCACCACTGTTAGATGGCCGTTCTTGGCTTTGGCTATGAGCAGTTCTGATCCTGATATGAAGTCAATGATCCCTTCTTTGCCTTGTCCAACTGTAAACTTGATGCTGTGAAGAGCAAGATGAGTATTTGAGACTTAGTTTTACCTCCACTGGCTTTGTTTGACCCTTTTCTCCTGGAAGCTGCTTGGCTGCACCACCTGCTTGTTCAGGGAAGCACAACTACAGCTAAGATGTTGCGGGGACGTTTTGATGCACGTAGGGGTGTTTCTGGAACACAACCCCCCCCAGGCAGCTCCCGCAGGGGCTGAGCTTCCCTCACCTGCCCTGGTTGATGTTGACGTTGTTGACTTTGCCTGCCTGCATGGCTGTCTTGGTGAGCGTCTCAATGACGTGGTCACTCTGCAGCACGACATCTCCCTGCCGGGAAGGAGAGACAAGACAAGTGTCACTGGACCAAAACAATTACGCTGCTGTTAACGTGCTCCAGAGTTAGGATGGGAAAACACTAATCCACATGGAGCACGGTCATGCTGTACCTGTGGCCATTAATTAAGGGAGCAAGGGATGGCACCAATCCTGTTGGTGACTTAAGCCACTGGTGAACCCATGATGGGCACAAGTAAAGAGCACAAGTAACAAGAGCTGGCACAAGGTCAGTTACAGACGTGTCACCGCGTGTGCCCTCCCCCCTGAGCTGGATCTTCTGCTCTTTGTGCCTCAACCCCCTGCCTAGAGGCGGTTGGAGAAGCAGGGGATGGGTTCCAGTACCTTCTGTTTGTTGTCCTCACAGTGCACGTGCAGCACGAAGAGGTTATCGCTCAGGCTGCTCACGGAGATGCCTGCGACAGAGAACAGCCACTTGGCACCCAGCACAAGAACCTCCCCTGGGAACGCAGGTGATGGACAACAGGCTTAAACTGTGCTCCTTAAGGTGGAAAAGAACCTTCCGGGTGCCTCTGTCCACCAGATGTAGGAAGAATTCCTGGTTACAAGCTGGCCTGGCCTTCAGAGAGAGGTAATTTGGCCAGTCCAGACACCTATGACCAGAACTGTATTGGACAGATACTCCACTCAGGCCGGGAGGTGGGTGAGTGGTGTAACTACTGGGATACTAAGGATTACTTCATGTACTTGATGCTAGATCCAAACCCGATTAGCTGGTTAAGTTGAGCATTAGCTGGTTAAGTTGAGCTGGCCCAACCTAGCAGAGATGAACACACATCTCTAATAGAGTCTTACGGGAGTCATAGAACCCCCAAATTAGTGTTGCCCTTGGAAACCAGTTCAGATGGTGACGGTTACAGACGCAGCAGTAGTCACATGGGGTGATGCTGAAATGATTAACACCAAGACTGGAGCTGAGAAGTGAGAGGTAATAACTCCACTGCCCCAACCTCCCTCAGCAGTTCTCCCCCTCTGACCAAGTTCTCCCTCTAAAAGCATCCAGGCCATGTCAGAGAGGGCCCTGAGCAGCTGCTGTGCAATAATGGTGCAATTCCCTGCGGCAGAGACGTGTGTGTTGGGAAGTGACTGCGGAGGGGATTGGGGGAGATGAATTGAGCAATTCTGGTGACATCTGATGGAATTTAACTTCAGGAAAACACAGTTCCAGGATATCACAGATTTAAAATGCTTCTTGTCAGCATCTGATCCTTCTTGGCCAGGACAAAGACACGTTGGTGAGTGTATTCTCACTTCACGAGGGCCGAGGCAGACCCAGCCCCCTCCCTGCTGCCCCCCTACCTGTCAGATTGCCGTAGTCGATGCGTTGCTTGATCTTGGACTCCTCGATGATGATGGCTGCGTGCTGGGTGAGGAGCAGCTGCCGGGCTCTTGCCTTGTATCCCTTCCGGTCGTACTTGACCACAGGAACTGCGTACTGAAACAAGTGTTAACGGTGCTCAACCCGCGCTGGTTTCCCCGTCAGCTGCCCTCCCTCTGGTCTAGAGCAGGAGCCCGGTAAATAGGGAATGGAGACAGTGTTTGACTCCTGTTCTCAGGTCCTTGCTGACCTGGAGAGGTTCTGAACCAGGTGATGGCTCCAGCCAGCTTGGAGAACCCAGGTTTAGTTTAAGTCTGGGTGGCTCCTGCTGCAGCCCTTTCAATTCTGAGCTGACAGAGTTGGGACACGGTTAATGTCCAAAGGGTATTTCTGAGCCATCATCAGCTCTTCCCATGAAGTATCTTCCAAGATCACTCTTGCTGTATTTTATTCATCAATCTGATCTGATATTCTGCTGAATAACTCTAGAACCTTGACAAAAGTATTAAGACACAGCTCTCACCTTAATGGCTTCATTGTTTAAAGCCTGCAGGACTTTAGCATTTATCTCTTCATTACCTGTATTAAAACCAAAAAGATGGGGTCAGAAAGAAAGTTCTAGCAAGAAAAGAGCCCATTAATCCCCCCCATTCCTCCCTCCTGTTCCGCTCACCCAGGCGGGTGTTGATGAAGAGTCTTGGAACACTCTGAGGGTAATTGTCCTTTTTACCCTTGAAAATCTCACTGGCAATTACTTTTTGTTCCAGCTGCGGGGACAAAAGACGTGCTCTGGGTTAATGTGAAACTTCTCCTTAATAGAGAGAGAAATTGATCTTAAATGAGATGCTCCCTTTGTTTCCCTTTAAGCAACTAGCTCTGACCTTCTGACTCACTCTAGTCCCAGACTCATACGCAATACTCTGTCCATCCCTCACCCTCCCAACACTGAGCCTGTCCTTAGGGCAGAAGGTGCTTCCCTTCTCTCTCCTCTCAGAAGTAACTCTTGTTATCCCCTGTTTGAATTTACCTGGACACTGCATCCAGGCCTGGGATTTTGGCAATTCCCATGTTTAAAAAGTACTGACAACGCAGTAATGGCCTTATTGGCACTACCCCAACTGTGACAGCTCCGATGGGCAAGTGCACATTATTGCTGTGACACAGTACAAAAACCAGGGAAAAATGCAGATAAAAGGTATTTATTTGGGAGTCTGGATTGCTGGGGAAAGGAAAGTGTCCAGCAACGTCTCCAGCTCAGTCACAGCCTGTGCTAATCCCGTGCCCTTAATCACAGGCTCAGCCACTCGCTAATCTACAGCACTTTGCTACTCACACTTAACGCTCTGCAGGCCTCCACCAGCAGTACGATGGACTATGCAGTGCAAAAACCTTAATGACGACTCTTACTATCAATCACTTCCCAACAGTTACATGTAAATTGCTCCATGTCCCATCTCCCATCGTGTCCCTTTACTGAGCCTTTGATACAATTACACAAAACCTTTTCCTGGCCAAGATGAATCAAATCTCAGGATACTCGTTTTAGCTGTTACAGCAGCTCTCACTGCTCACGTGATGTCTCTGCTTGGAAAATGACTAGTTCTGTGCCTGCAGGATTCTTACTCTTGGTCTCTATATGGTACAACCAGGATAATGCAGCTGGTTACATTCCTATCTTCCATGGGAAGGATAGTGGAGCCTTCCAGTACAGACATTACACAGGGACATGGAGATACAGCACCTCTTCAACAGCATGTACTGGAATAGGTGGACAATGGTTTGTCTTTTCTGCATGTCTTGACCATTAGTTTTTTGTCTTTAACCTAATAAACCCCACAATGCTCCTGTGGGGCCATTAAATGAGCTCCTCCACCTCAGCCCTGCTGCAGGGAGATCCCCCCCTATAGTAGTGCTTTGTCCCTCCCCTCCTGGGAACACTGGTTGTGCAGTAACATCAAGTCATCTCGTACCTGCTGCTTCCACTCGGGGCTGATTCTCTTGCAGTAGGTCCAGACCATGTTCTGCATACAGAGCTGGCGCAGGAGCTGGGATGCCTGCACAAGGAATCACACTGTCAATGAAAGGAGCTCAGAACCAGGGACAAACCAACCCAAACTGCGAGGACAGATGAGAACACCTCAGAAAATGCATCACTGAACTCAAACGGTGCTTCAGTACCGAGAGTTGCTTCTAAAATTCAATACGAGGCAGTTTATTTCTCCCCTTTCTAAGAGGGTTTCCCTTCAATGCTCTCCACCTGCTTTAGACTGGAGAAGGAGCACCCAGATGCTCCCCTCACCCTGCTGTGCCTGCCCTTGCATCCAGGGCCTGCAATCGAGCACTCAAGGGCCTTTGGGTAAAATAACCAGGACTTTCTGCAATAGCTTGTTTTGAGCAGATAAAAGCCCAGCTGAGGGTTGGAACTGGATGAGCTTTCAGGTCCCTTCCAACCCAAACTGTTCTGTGATGCTGTGATTCCAAAACGGTGCTGTCAGAGCACTGCACTCACAAGCTGTCAACACTCCAACTCCAGTCACTTCACAGACACGCTGTGATTCCAGCTTGGGATGATGCCTGGAGTCATTCCACCAGCAGAGCTGCTGATGTATGTAACCAGAGAGAGCCTGGAGGGTCCCCTCACTTCTCCACCAGTGCCCCCCACCCTGTACCCACCTCACTGAGCGACGGAGGAGGAGTTGGCCACGACTTGTCCAGAACATTCTTTGGCAGGTTCCTTTTGAGGTTCATGAGGAAGGAGAAGCGGATGTAATCCAGGAAATACTCGTTCTCGGGGCACCGCGGGTGGTTCCGGTAAATGAAACCTTTGATGAACCTGAGGAAGAAGAAATGTTGTTGTAAGAACAGTGGCCAAAGTCAGTGATTTTTGGAAGCTGCTTCTTGCCAACCATGTTCTGGGCTTCGTTTACGTGGTGGAACTTGTTTAGAAAGTACTTCAGTGACAAGCAAGTTTATTCTTATCAATCATCTCACTGCCAAGACCTAAGCACCCAGCTGATGGCCTGGGTTACCCTTCACGTACCTCCTGATGGTCTCCACTGCCCACTTCCTCTTGGCAGCTTTCCGGCGCCCCAGCGTTCCCCGCCACCAGGACTGGATGGCTATTGCTAAGAGTAACACCAGACAGCAGTTAAAAGCACTGGCAGATGGGAACTGCTGGAGGAACATGAGCAAGTTTGCTTCCCCTGCTCAGTCTTCCATGGGGAGTCACTGGGGACCACACCAACACCTTCCACTCTACTCCCAGCAAGGCTCTGGGGACGTTCCTGCTCACACACCAAACACAAACCACCTCTGACAGCAGCAGCCGCCTCAAACCAGGCAGTTCCCAGCCCTGCACTTGCCTTTCTCTCTCTTCCTCTCATACCTGAGTGTTTCATGTGCAGGAATTTCTTCCGACGGTAGAAACCTCTCCACGTGGCCTGCATTTTTGTGGCTGAAATGGCAAGAAAAGGAGCGATTGGGAACAGGAACTAAGCAGGTTTTGGTAGGAAAAGGCTTGGTTTTTTAAACATAAATCTCTCCCCATACAAACAGCAGATAAAGGTCATCAGAACTCAGACATCCACTGTCCATGAAGCTGCTGTGGTCTGTGACTCACCCAGACTCTGCTTCCTCACTTCCAGAGCATCTTCCGTCGCAAACAAGGTCTTGGGAAAGCGGATAAAAATCTTTGTTCTAGAAATAGAAGTGCAGAACGATGTTTGACATGCTGGAGGAGTCTGCTTCCTGCCCTCAGCATCCCCTCTGGGCTCCCTAACCTCACCCATTAGATAGAGAAACCCTATTTAAAAGCAATGACACGGACGTGCAATGATTCATCCTCTCAAATGAAGGAAACAGCAGAACTCACCGTCCCATTTTGTATTCTTCCTGTTTGTAGCCCAGATGCTTCACCAGCACAGCCACCCCGTCGTGGGGCCGCCCGTCCCACGTGGGCCACGTTTCTGGACAAAGGGATTTGTACCTGGGAATTGAGAGCAGGAGGAATCTTAAGGAGAGAACCAGTCCCTACGAGGAAAGGGAAGGGGGAGAGGCCACGCTTCTTGCTCCCCACGAGGTGTAAGAGCTGCCCTGAGTATCTGTGGGACCAAGACCAAGGAGAGGGCAGCCCAAGGAGGTTCTACCTCTGCAGGAAGACCTCATATTTCCTCCGATAGGCGAAGCCGGCTCTGCGCACGCGGAGGTTCTCCATCAGGCCCAAGTATTTCACTTGGTGTCGGATGAGAACTTCATCGAATCGGTCTGGAGAGACATGAAAAGAGAGAAACGTGATCAATGTACAGCTGACCCTTCACCTGGAGAAGGGGCACGTTCAGTCCTTAGGTTTTGCACAAGTATCTTTAACCCATCCTCATGCTGCAGGTCCCACACCACGTGTCATGTCCCCACTCTGCTTTATTACACTTTTATACCTAGTCCCAAACTACAGTTCTCCTTTAGGATGTTCTCTGCGTGCAAGGAGGAAGAAACGAGGGAGAATAAAGGTCATGAAAAGGAAGTTCTGTAGGTTAATAATCACTCACTTTAAACATGACCCTCCCACTGCGATTCCTGGGCCATCACCTCCCCACAAGCAGCTCCAGCACCAACCCCAAATGACAGAATCCCACAGGAATTCTTCATCCCAGCTCCTTGCTGTGCCTCCCCTCACCAGGACCTTGTGTCACCAGGGTCATACCAGCCTGTTTAGCATCGTTGGGTTTAATGCAGCGAATGTAGGAGGGTTCTTTGGACATGAGAATTTCCATGAGCTTGGAGAGGCTGTTTTTAAACTGAGTTGCTGCCTAGGAGAGAAGAAAGAAAACCATGAATGACTTCGAGCTAGTGCTTGTGACCACAGAAACCTCAGTCTCCCAGCTTTAAACAGAAGAGGTTTGCACCCAGATTCCCATGTTAGACAGGATGTGTCTTAAAAAGAGGGAAGAGCCACACTTCCAGCCAGCTTCGTGTCCTTACCGTTTCAGGTCTCTTCTTGTCCGTCAGCTCTGTCCTGTCGAAACACTGGTTTATGATGGGATTCTCAGAGTTGCACATGGTCTGCAGAGAGGTGGTGTCAGAGAGAAAGCACAGAGAATCCTTCAGAGAACTAGCAAAGAAATGTGGGACAAAGCTGCTTGTTTGGGGGGTTCTTTTTGGTTTGATTCTTAATAATAGAACGAACTTCAGGCACCTCAGTTTGTCTTTTGATAGCGCAGCCCCATGGACACGCATTCACCAGGTGGAGTCTGCAAGAACCTTTCCCTCAGGTGCCATCCCCCATTTTAAACCCAACTGCTCGTTCTGAGCTGGAACATCCTCCATCCACACTCACCTCCTTCAGGTTCCGAAAGAGAAGGTCATTGTTTTTATCCAGAAAACCTGGAAGACAAAAGGAAACCGCTCAGGCTGCCACTGGTGTTCCACAGGAACGGCACAACAGGGCAGGAGGTCGAGAGAGGAAGTTCATCTGGCTCAGCACGAGATGTGGATGTATTCAATGCCCAGGTTCTCCTTTGCTCTATGGTGAAACTGGTTGAATTCAAGGGGCAGGACAGGAAGAGAGGGAAAGGGTGAGAGGTGGTGGAGATGATGCACACACTGACCTGCGACGCTGTAGGTGACCTCTCCAGCATAGTGCAACAGTCGGAACTCCTCCCGCCCCAGGGACTTGCGGGTCTTCTGGTCAGCGAGCTTGTGCCTGGTGAGGAAGTGAAGGAGCTTTAGGAGAAACAAACATCTGCTTCAAGGGGGATCCACCTCAGAAAGCACTAGAGCGTCTGATCCAGAGTGGGACCGCGTGAATGCAGAAGGGGGGCAGGGAATAAACCCTGTGTGCTGATTTTCAAGACCCAAAGTGGAATGTTCCCAACCAGCAAATCATAAATGTCAGAAAATGGATTGATGTTTGTTCCCAAAGGATGAACTTTCAGCTTCGTGGTGAGGCTGTGGGCTGGTTCTGTGTGCACATGAGACTAGAGGAGAGGCGGCAGGCAAGAGGGCAGGGGAGATGCTGGCAGCAGGCTGGCGTACTCGAGATGCTGCACAGGTCCCACTCTGAGCATCAGCAGAGCAACCAGTAAGAATAAAAAGACATTTGGAGCTCCAAAACTGAAGTAAACAATCTGAAAGGTGACACATGGAATTGTGCCAGGAAGAGACAAGTCAGTAATAAGACTTGTTGCTCCTGCTTTATCCTGAAGGATACTCTTGAGAAGAGCAAGGCAGTTGTGTTGACAACTTATTCTGTATTATCTGAACTCACAACCAAACCTCTTTGCAACAGAAACCACCACCATCTTTCACGTGGGAGCCAGTACACCTCGGGTGCTGCTGCTTTACACACAAGGAGTTATACCACTATCTAGAAGTAATAAAGCTCTGGGCTCTACCACACACTTGGATCCTACCAGTGTAACTGTGTTAACACTCACGTGAGAAAATGGGGATGGTTCTTCACAGTTTCCTCCAGTTTCTCCAAGAAGGTTGTATCTGTGGCATCCCCAGGTCTCAGGCACTCTTCATCCTACAAACACACCCATTCCAGCGTTGAGTTCCTACTGTGCTCAGCAGGGCACAACATGACTTTTAAGTGTCACTGTTCAGTGCATCGTTGCTCTTCCCACCTGCTCAAACAGCCCTCGCATAAGATTAAACCATTCTTTTCTGGGTTCTTCCCCCTGCTTTGCACCACACTGCCTCAGTTTTTTCAGTAATGAAGGTGTTGTTAACTCACCAAAATAGAAATGATGCCTTTGAACTTCTCTTCCACCAAATCACAGATTATTTTGTTGTTGAAATACTGAACCGGTTCCCACTGCAAAGCCAAGAAACCACATTTTGGTGAAAACCATTCAGGGCTGGAGAAAATGAACATCTTGGAACATTTCAGGCAGCACCTCACTAAAAGAATCTTTCTGTCAACTTAGAAACAAAGCTTTTCACTCCTGAATTTGTCTTCCTAAATATTCCCTTTAAAAAGCATCCTGAAGCAGAGGCAAAGATTGCAATGGCATTACACACTTCAAGCTGTATCACACGCAGTGCTTCAGAAAGAAAGGAAAAAGGAAAGCTCTTTAATCCATTCACTTTAGAGACCTGATAAATCAGCAGCTCCTTTCCTAACCTGAGCTCTGGCCTGCAGGAGATGCTACAAAGGAGATAGTGGAAGTGATATAGTGGCTCTTACCGCTATGCCTTCTGACTCGTACTCCTCTTGTTCTGACTTTAATGTGAGCTCTATGAAGAGCTGCTGCAATTTTTCATTACAATAATTAATACAAAACTGCTCAAAGCTGCAAACAAAAATCAGAGAAATAATCACTAACACTGTACCACAAGTAAAAGAAGCTCTAATCAGTGGGCAGCAGCATGAGTATCTCTGAGTAAATCAAGAGAAGTAGAAGAGAATTTGGGAAATGTTCATTTACTGACTATAAATTAGGTATTAGGAAGAAGCTCTTCTCTGTGAGGGTGCTGAGGCGCTGGCACAGGGTGCCCAGAGAAGCTGTGGCTGCCCCATCCCTGGCAGTGTTCAAGGCCAGGCTGGACACAGGGGCTTGGAGCAACCTGCTCTAGTGGAAGGTGTCCCTGCCCGTGGCAGGGGCTGGAGCTGGAGGAGCTTTAAGGTCCCTTCAGCCCAAACCAGTCTGGGATTCTATGATTTATTACTTTGTGTGAGACCAAACCCAGATGGCCTCAGAGATAGTTTATTTCACAATGGAGAGAAACACTATAACGAATAAAGTCACAAAGAATTGACTCAAAACTCAGAGACATGGATAGAAACAAACCTGTTGTGCTGGAAAACCTCAAATCCATAGATATCGAGCAATCCTAGAACTGTTGTGCTTCTCCAGCCTGGAAACTTTCCTTCCTGCAACAGGGCAGAAAGCAAATGTTGCTACATACTGATAGCTACAATCCATCACTGGATCTTACCCACTTAGTTACAGCATTTACACCTCACCCTCTTCTTAGTGGAAAACAGATTCATTTAGAAACCACTGTACAGCGTGGAACTTGTTATTTCTCTGCTTTGCAGCTAAAAGATGTAGGATTTCCTTTCACATGTGGTTGGATACCAGCAAACAAAAGGTTCCTTTACCTCATAAGCCAGAGACTTGTTAACCTTGTTCACCAGCCAGGAGAAAGTGCGTCCGTATATTGCCTTGGCAAGAGCATCCCTTGCATAGGCTGCCTGCTCCAGGTTCAGGGGGCTGATGAGCTGTGTGCAGGAGACAACAAAAGCCACTCACCAGCCATCCCCTGAGGGACTGAGTTTCCCCTAGTTCACTGTTAATAACGAGCCACCCCACAGCACCCTGCCCAGGATCCTTGTAGGATCCTGCACTGACAACCTCCTTTGACAAGCGAGGAGTGAACCTGATGGTGTATCATTGGCTTGATTTAATTCCATGTGCCTCTCAGATCCCCAGCTCATGTTCTTACCTCTTCCCCTTTTGCTATGATCTTCCTGTGGATCAAAGCATCTCGAAGAACAGAGCCTTCAACTGCTAGAAGCTGCAAAGCAATAGAATATTAAATTCACCAATGGAACAGTACATTCAATTTATTAGTAATAGTTTTAAGACACCAGAAAGTCTGATCCTGAAAGCCAAGTGAAACAACCCTTTATTTCCCATTCACACTGCAAGACTTTTGCAGCATCAGTCTGTCCTGTTCCTCCTGCACACCAGCAGTGATAGGACCTAGCACATAAACTGGCTTGATTGTTCTGGCACAAAGACTCAAGTAAGCAAAGCCACGAGGGCTCTTCTTTCTTTAAAACTCCTCTCTAGAGCAGATCTACTCCTGTCCCACTGCCTGAAGGTGAAAACCTCAAGTCAGCAGTGGACTGTATGTAGAGAAGTCATTAAATAAAGGAGTTTGATGTTAATATTTGCCCCTTATTTAGGTCAAATAAAAGCAAATTTATGAAAGCTTATAAATCATATTCTAAGATTCTATGATGGTGTCAAGTTCTAAATAAGGAAATCTCCACAATCCATCTCTCCTGCAGTGTCTCTCTCTCTGGTGATACTCACCCTAGCCAGGTATTTGATCTGATTCTCTGTAGTGACCTGAGCATTTCCTTGCTCATCAGCAGCAAACTGCACGTTCCCCAGATGCAGGACACTAGCCACAACGCTCAGCAGATCCTGGAGTGGGAGCAACAGCCAGGAATCAGGAGTGGGACAGGGCAGCGAGTGAGATTTTGGTGTTAATTAACATTTTACAAGGACATTTTGGATTTTTTCAGAGAATACATTCCCTCTGAACACTGCAGAAATAACAAATCAAAGCCGAAAACATTCCTTAAAGGTAGGAAAACAGTTCTGCTGTTAGACATGTCTCACCTCCACCTCGTTGTCCTTGAAGCTTATAATGGACAAGGCTCTTCGCACGATCTTCCAATCGTTTTTATCATTTATGGAACTGACCCTTGCACAGTGACCCTAAAAAGACACAATTTGATCTAAGTAAGTAAATTATTGTCAAAGATGTGTTCCTCGTGCTCAATCCGTTTCTTTTTATAGCAATGTTATTTCTGAAGTGAGGGAAGGAAACTACAAAGTCAACTGGGAATATATGGGTGCTATAACAGAACAACACTAAGAGTGACTGGTTAACACACACCTTTACTAAATAGTGATACTGTTGTGGGTTCTTCTCGAGGCCCAGCCTCCGCAGTAAGTCCTCTTCCCCTCCTTCTAGCAGCTGGTAGAAAATGTGGAAGTTCCTCTCTCCATGGTTCTGGTGCACAACTCGGGATTTCTCCAGGAGGTAGTTCAAGATGTGGCCCCCGACAGGAGCCCCCTAAATCAAACCATATACATTGAATTAGTTCATCAACATAGAGGAAAATACTTCTGCTTCTTGGTGGGCTGCTCAAAGACAAACGAGATACAAAACAACAGCCTACACAGAGAAAAATAGCTGTCATTTTGTACCACAGTGGCAATTTGAGTTCTGAAGCGTACACAAAAGGAGCTGTCAGGTGACAATAACGTGCCATTATACAAGTCATGGCTCCAGTACACACTGAATGGGATCCTGTTTGTGTAGAATTCCTTCTCAGAAGGAATTCAGCACAAAGGGAAAGCAGTAGGACTGTGAGTGTGGAGGGATTATGTACTGAGCTGTTTAAATGACTGCAGCACGCTGAGCTGCTCGGTTCTTGCACTACGTCCATCCTCACAGTGTGGGGCAATTCGGATCAGAATGGAAGGAAACGCTGTGCAAAGTTACAGCTGACAGAGGTTATCTTCAGATCACAGCTGGGACCAGAGAGCTGCTGTGACCAGGAGCAGTTCTGAAGTGTACCACAGATATTAAGTTACCCTGTAATCAAACTGCACATCCATGTATTTCCCAAATCGGCTGGAGTTGTCATTCCGAAGGGTTTTTGCATTTCCAAAGGCCTGAAATGAAAATTATTAAGAGAAAAAGGAGTAAGCATCAAGTAAGGTTATTTATAAACACTTGGGTGAAGCTGCCAGTTGCTTATTTACAGCCATTAGAGCCTCAGGTTGTCCTTTTTGCAAGAGCAACCAAGAAGGAAACAGATTGTTGCTCAAATTCTAATGCTAATCGTTATACCCAGTGCAAGCACTGCAGATGGAATATCCCTCTGAAAACATTCCCATCACCCCAGCAAGCTTATTTTAATGCCAGTTCGCTGCTGACAACATATGTCATGTCTGACAGTCTTTTCAAAGCTGCTTCTTTGATCACAGCTATTTGCCTTCAGTCACCCACAGCTCTGCAATGTCCTAACGGGCTGGGGCCTGCCAGGCTCTCCCCTCTCCCAGGGAGCACCTTTCCCAGTGCATGCAGCACACATTTGAGCAGAGAGCTGAAATATCAGAGGGAACTACAGAGACAGCTCCGGACTGGACACTAGAGGACACCACAGCACTGGGAAATGCACCCACAAATGCTTCTGTCAGAGGGCAGCTGCCCACAGCCCATGTGTCCACTTGTGGCTTTGCAAACTCGTGCAGTGCACCAGAACCCTTCCCACGCCGAATGCTTCTATCCCAGCAGCCCAGCTATTCCAGAATTGCTCCTGGTGGACTGGAAAGGGTGAGCTCAGCTGCAACGGCTCTTTCCTTGGCTTGGAAGCAGAGTGGGATTCCCCTGTGTGTAATGTGAACAAACTGCCCACATACCGCGAACCAGCGTTCCCAGGATACGCTATCCCACCATCCCACTATCCTCTGTGCACCGAGAGCTCAGCCCTGCCCAGCGGGGTCCATCTGCCCCCACTTCCTCTGCTGGAAAATGTGAGTGCTGCTGGTATGAGTCAGTGACTCCAGGTCAAGCTTCCAGCCCTACCTCCAGGACAGGGTTGGACTGTAAGAGTCGGTCCTTCACGGTTTCGACCTGCTGGCTGGCTGGGCAGGTCACGGCGTAGTACTGCAGGATCTTCTTGGTGGCCTCGGTCTTGCCAGCCCCGCTCTCCCCCGAGATCAGGATGCACTGATCCTTCCTCTCCGTGCGCAGGGAGCGGTAGGAATTGTCTGCAATAGCGTAGCTGAGGGGCAATGATGAGCAGGGGTTAGTTTGTTTCTACAAGTGAAGGGCAGAGACTCCTCAGTTATGATTATCCCATGGAGGGAGCTCATGGCAGAGGCGCCTCTAAAAGGAGTATGTGTTTGTGGTGGTGGTGGTGATGACACCTCTATATACATCTTAACTACTGAGCCAGGTTTCTGCAGGGTCATAGCCCAAATCTATCAAATTCCTTTAAAAACTCTTCTTTTGACTCTGACAAGAAGAGTTCCTCTAGAAGATAACTAAATTGTGGGATCAGCATGGTTTGGGTTGAAGGGACCTTAAGGCTCCTCCAGCTCCAAGCCCCTGCCACGGGCACGGACACCTTCCACTAGAGCAGGTTGCTCCAAGTCCCTGTGTCCAATCTGGCCTTGAACACTGCCAGGGATGGGGCAGCCACAGCTTCTCTGGGCACCCTGTGCCAGCG